TCGGTGCCTTTGCCTGACAGCCTCTCCCAAGCCCTCTCACCCTCCTGCCTGGCCCTGGGAGCAGACATAGGGAGGGAACCATCCGGGGCAGCCCCTCAAGGAGACTCCCGGGGTGCCCCGACAGGGGCCAGCGTCACACGGGCCGGGGCAGAGGCAGGAGCCTTGTCCCCTTCCCCCAGCCTGGGCCTGCCCTCTCCACCCCCACGAGCCCTCATCCCAGCCCAGCCCAGTGGCCTCCCTGAGCACGGAGGTTTCCAGCATGAGCAGGGAGGGCCAGGGGCCCCTTTCTGCCATCTGGTTCCCATCAGCAGCCCCGCGCCGTGGGGCACCCGGGCCCCTTCCTGCTCCGTCCTGGGAGGACGCGGAGTAGCCCCGGCAGCAGGGGGGGGTTTGCGGCTCTTGTCGACATGGGCTAGGGTGATGGCTGTGGGGACTGGTGTCCCCAGGACGACCTGCAGCCCTTCCCTGCTGCCCCTCCAGCCCCACGGCCCAGCTCAGCCCGTGGTGTCTCTCAGCAGCACTGAAGTCAAGAGTTGCTGGCAGAGCCTGTCACCCAAGCCTGGGATCCCCCAGCTGGCCCCTCTGTCTTCAGCCTTTGGGCTTCAAGGTGAATCCACACCACGAAACAAAGCGTGGTGCAGAGTTGGCATCAAACAGGCCAGTGCCAGCAGCGGGCACAGCACTGCCAGGGAAGGGGGCACAGCATCCCCAGGGCTGCTTTAGCTTCTCAAGTGTGGAAAGAGGCAGTAAGATGGAGTTTGGGGGGGATAATGGAATAAGCTCAGTGGTTGTGGCTCCAGATTTAGCCATGGAAGACCTTAATTCAGCTTCAGATGTTGGCTCCTTGGGTGGCTTCAAGCCAACCACTTGATCTCACCAGTATCTGGGACCCAGAGTAGGTCCCTGCTGGCTTGACACAGGGTGGAAGACTCCAGGGAGGAGCAGCCAGGCCATTTCTGTGGACATCACTACCCTATTCAGCAGGTTGATGGAGAACAGCCCCACCACACAGACCTGTCCCTTCCTGTACCCCACAGCACGGAGCTACCTTCCACCAGCCTGCCCCACTAATCCTCTTTCCATCCACGTTCTGCGCCCGGGCTGCCTCCTGAAAGGCTGCCAGTGGGCAGGAAATCTGCAGCCGAAATGCTGAGGGATGCTGACAAGGAATACTTGTGGGGAGGAACAGGGCTGCCTTTGTCAGGGCAACAATGGAGGACCCGCACAGGCGAGGAGGGAGCCCAGGGGAAGCCCCTGCCCACCCCCTCTGCTCTCCCACCTTTGCCCTGCCTTGGCTTGCCTCCCCTGAAGAACCAGGGACAAGGGGGACCGGGCTGGTCTCCAGCCCCTGCCTCTCAGCAAGGGGACAGTCAGGGCAGGAGGATGCTTCTGGGATTCATCTATTTTCCAGAAGTGGAAGCTGAAGCATGGAGCAGCACGTTCCTGGGACTGTGGCCACATTTAATGGCATCCATTAAAAATCTGAAGGGAGACTTTGCTCCTTGGGATCTCCTGTCTTCCTAGGAGCTCAGGTAGAGCAGAGAAATACAGCAGAAATCCTGCTGGGAGGATGAGAAGAGCCTCTTCCAGGCACAGACAAATCCTTCTCAGTAGTGGCAGGAGACAGAACAAGTGGCAATGAGCAAAAATTGCAGGTTGGGAGGTTCACATTGGACATCAGGCAAAGCTGCTTCACTGGGAGAAAGACTTGGAAGCTCTGTGGCATGGTGCTAATTAAGTCTGATATGAGGCTGGTGCAAACAAGCACAACAGGCAAATTGCACCCCATGCTCCTTCCCCCCTTTTCTGTCTCTCCATAGTCTTTTCCATGCTCCACCT